CTCTCGCCAGGTTAGCAAAAGTTTCTCACGATCACCAAACCCGAGACACAAACGATAATACAAAGTGTATAAATACCATAACAAGCACAGTTTCTTACCTTTGAAATTGACGAAGACACAATTTTGTCCATATAAGCGTTGCGCAAATAATGATCCTCACACAAAAATGACTGTGATTTCCACCGAGACGAGAACTGCGTATGCGTCATCAAAACACGAATTAAACTCGGGTAATTTCGGGAGAAGTCGGATTTTCCAGCATTTTTGAAGGAAAATGTTAAAGATCAAAGAAAAACACAGTGAAACTTTGAAGAATCGAAAAAATAACTTGATGTGCATAATAGCACCATCAATTCCTGTCTCTGTACCAACTCTGAACTGAATTGGATCACACATGTGTGAGAAAAAGCTGGTAAAGTGAAAATGTGCACACACGGATGCACAGACACAACCCAAATTAATACCCCCTGCCCGGATCGCAGATACTGATTAATTTAGCAACACAGTAATCATCTTTTCTTGTCTTGACAAGCATTACTACTTCAAATTTTCCTTTGAGTGTTCACTATAAATCTAGACCTAAAACTATACTATGTAAATAAATGTAATGAAATGTGATTTGTTTTCAAAATTTGACAGAAAACTTGATAGAAAATAAAATGGCAACTGGTTGTCAAACCAATACATCTGTATATCTTTGATGTATAATGAATATATAAAATTTGAGCATCACACAAAGAAAGTCAGAGATATGGAACAAGAACCACATTCATTAAAACAAAATGGCCACCAGTCGGCCATTGAAACTTATCTGAAAAACAAAATGACTTGCGTCAAGGTCCCATAATGTCTAATGTATATACTAAGTTTGAACAAAATCCATCTGAAATGCTTGATCTTCAGAAGAAAAATGGGCGCCATTTGGCCATCTTGAATCAGATCGTGAAACAAATTGATGTGCATATATGTATAATATTATGTATGTGTAAAGTTTGATTGTGATTGATCCTGGCATGTCTAAGATACAGGTTCGGACACACACACGCACACACACACAGATGCACGGTCACATGGATGCACAAGTGTCAAAACATAAGTTCCTGTTTAAAAACTATTTGAGTTATTGTAACTACAAGAAAAATATTCTACAACAACAACGAACAAAGTAAAAATTATATTATGATGTATATGTGAAATAGTTCCACTTTTTGCTTTTTCTATTTCACTCAATTTGAAATTTGAACATGTTTAGCATTCAGTCATAGAAAAAATCCTTGCACACACTTCATTACACACTTTCCGGGAATATTTGAACCCATCATAATTTAACTGAAACAGTAGTCACTGATTGGCTCCTGAAGTTTAATGACAATTTCAGTTTTAAATATCCTAGGAAAGAAAATGTTCCAGGTACTTTGTGTGATGAGGTGTTCGTATGAAAAGATTTTTGTAAGTAAAATTGCCAAATGTGTTTATATTTTATTAGAAGTTAGCTTAATAATAGCCTACGATTCATTTGGCATTGAAAGTTTGTTTTTTTCCCACTGATTCACAGGAATATGATAAACACATTTCTCAATATGTCTCTTCTTCATATATTCAAGTCAAATTCAAGATGCTGGCACTCATAAAGTGAATATTGGTAAATTAATAACATTTATTTAATTAGCACTTGTACTTCAGCCAACTGTGGGAAAACATAACAGCCAATCACATAGCAATAATGACCTTTCCTTCAATATAAAATTGATTGTGTAATAAACTAATCTTGAATAAATAATATATTCCACACAGAGGAACAATATCAATGCTCAATGATATAAGAAATCAAATAAATTCACTGATACTTACAGGTGCTTCTTCTCCTTTCTCTGCTCCCTGTGTCGAGACTGAAGCTGAACTGAAAGAAGTGGACGCTGATGCACCATATGTAGAAGACAGCTTCAGTTCTTTTTCTCCTTTATCTCCAAGATTAAATAGATAAATGTAATCAGAAGAGTAGCTGACGAGTAACTCTTCACCGTCAGGAGCATAACATAGTGAGGTTGGACGGCAATATTTACGTACAAGTTGCTGAGGACAGAATCTGGCAATCATTCCTTGGATTCCACGTCCAGTATAGTGCCCTGCTAATGTTATAAATTAAATAATTCAAATTTAGAACTTGCTAATGAAGTCTTTATTTTTTGTGAAGGTAACATGTTGGAGAGATAACATGCATCACTGACATCAACATGATTTCCTGTTGGTAATGAGTGATGTTAGTTGAGACAACCAAGTTTCGCCAATCAGGAACTATGCTATTTGCATATGTACATGACATATGACAAGAAGAAAACCGTTGGCTGCTTTGATGTTATTATATCCTATCATACTTGTTATTGTTGGTTGTTTTGCAAAGTTACACAAAGGTTAAGTTTCACACCATCATTACATTACAAACAGATTTCATGTGCTTCACATGGTTAAATACACTCCAACCATGAGGTCACATAATCCTCCTGCTAATGATACTAAAACCTAAAGAAGACTTGCAAGCAAGACTTTATGCATTCCTTACCTGTGGCTCGAGTGCCTAGCATTCTTCTATCAAACATTCTAACAGAGCTATCAGAACATCCCACAGCTAACTGATAGGGAAGTATAGGGTTTACAGCTAGTGATGTCACTGCTCTACGACAATTGATTAAAATATCCTATGGATGATAAAATGAAAACATTATTTTCCTTAGGTGAATGTGGAGTATATACTGCCATTGCAATGATAATCCATTTTCCACTGTGCAGTATTTTACAAACCAGGATATCGATAGTATCGTACATACCAGGATATCAGTAGTATCGTACATACCAGGATATCGGTAGTATCGTACATACCAGGATATCGATAGTATCGTACATACCAGGATATCAGTAGTATCTATACATACAAGGATATCGATAGTATCGTACATACCAAGATATCGATAGTATCGTACATACCAGGATATCGGTAGTATCGTACATACCAAGATATCGATAGTATCGTACATACCAGGATATCGGTAGTATCGTACATACAAGGATATCGGTAGTATCGTACATACCAAGATATCGATAGTATCGTACATACCAGGATATCAGTAGTATCTATACATACCAGGATATCAGTAGTATCGTACGTACCAAGATATCGATAGTATCGTACATACTAGGATATCAGTAGTATCATAGATACCAGGATATTGGTAGTATCGTACATATCAGGATATCGATAGTATCGTACATACCAAGATATCGATAGTATCGTACATACCAGGATATCAGTAATATCGTACATATCAGGATATCGATAGTATAGTACATACCAGCATATCATAGTATCGTACATACCAGGATATCGATAGTATCGTACATACCAGGATATCGATAGTATCGTACATACCAGGATATCAGTAGTATTGTACATACCAGGATATCAGTAGTATCTATACATACCAGGATATCGATAGTATCGTAGATACCAAGATATCGATAGTATCGTACATACCAGGATATCGGTAATATTGTACATACCAGGATATCGATAGTATCGTACATACCAGGATATCAGTAGTATCATAGATACCAGGATATCGGTAGTATCGTACATATCAGGATATCGATAGTATTGTACATACCAGGATATCGATAGTATCGTACATACCAGGATATCAGTAGTATCATAGATACCAGGATATTCGTAGTATCGTACATACCAAGATATCGATAGTATCGTACATACCAGGATATCAGTAGTATCATAGATACCAGGATATCGGTAGTATCGTACATATCAGGATATCGATAGTATTGTACATACCAGGATATCGATAGTATCGTACATACCAGGATATCAGTAGTATAGTACATACCAGCATATCATAGTATCGTACATACCAGGATATCGATAGTATCGTACGTACCAAGATATCTATAGTATCGTACGTACCAGGATATTCGTAGTATCGTACATACCAGGATATCGGTAGTATCGTACGTACCAGGATATTCGTAGTATCGTACATACCAAGATATCGATAGTATCGTACATACCAAGATATCGATAGTATCGTACATACCAGGATATCGGTAGTATCGTACATACCAGGATATCGGTAGTATCGTACATACCAGGATATCAGTAGTATTGTACATACCAGGATATCAGTAGTATCTATACATACCAGGATATCGATA